CCGCCAGCCCCAAGGACAGGCCCCCAGCCCAGACTGCACCGGACACAGGCCGCAACCGGCTGATGTGTCGGCTGGGATTTTTCCGCTCTTGATGAGCCCCCTCCCTCCCCCTCCCCAAAGTGGCTGCAGCTGTCAGGACCACAGATTGGAACTGCAGGTATGGGGCTGGCCCGCTGCCCGCCTCCTCCCGTGTCTGTCTGCAAGAGAGGAAGCCGGCCCACCTCTGGAATCCTTCACTCTCTCCTCGTTCCGCCTCTCCCACCTGTCCCCCGGGAGCGTGGGGTCAGCCGCCCTCGCTCCGTCTCTCTCTTCCCCAGCCCCTCTCCGATTACAATGCGGGTAGTGTTCAGCACTCGCGCCGCTCCCCTGCACAAAACGCCCGCCTGTCTCAGAGCGCCACACGGCCTTCCTGTGCGACATGAGGCCGCGGCCGCCTCCTCCTCCTCCTCTTCCTCAGGGTTTTATCTGTCAAAATGCTCAGGGCAAGGCCAGGGCAGGAGGCTCACCTGCTGCATCTCACCCTACTGAAGGTTCCAGCAGGGGTGCTGGGCCCTGGCGCCGGGCCAGAGCGGAGAAAGAGAGGTCCTGCTTGGTCTCCTCCTCAAAGTCCAAACCAGCTGAGCAGACCCCAGCCCAAGGTGGGGTCCCAGGCAGGAGGAGCCGCCAGCCCAGAGGCCCTCACCTCTGGCCCTGCTCCCGCCAACCACACATCTGCCCTTCCAGAGGCTGGGCACACAGCTCGGCCTCCTCCCGGCACCTCCACCACTGGAGAGAAGCCACTACTGACCCAGGCGTCCTGGCACCTCCACAGCTGGGAGGGCAGCAAGTCACCCCCTGGGGGTCTAAAGGCTAGAGAGAGGCCACTACTGACCCAGGGGTTCCTCCAGACCTGGCCTGCCTCAGTCTCTGCTGGGAATGGCCCAGGGACAATGGCTGTTCTCAGGCAGAGCACCCCAATGCCTGGCGTCTCATAAGCAGGGGCTCCCAGAAACTCCTGCAGGATGCCGGGGGTGGGGCACAGGCTTGGGGCATGACACCCCCAACAACCCCCCGACGCCTCCCAGTGCTCACCACTCCTCAGCCTGCTCCGAGTCCCACAACTCGGAACTGCAGCTTCCAGGTGGGGTGGGAACAGGGCTCCAGAGGTCCACACCCGCTCAGCCCCCAACTCCGGACACCTCCCAAATCTCATTCTGGAGACTTTTCCCCCAGTCCTGATCCATGCACACACACGCACCTGGGACTCCCATCCCCTGCGGAACAGCCCCAGCCTTGGGACACACACCCAGACCCAGCTCTCCACAGCCAACCTCCCCAGAAGGCCCAGAGCCTGCAGCCGTCACCACCTGCCCGACAGACCTTGCCCTCCAATGCCTTCCCCAGCTCCGCTCCACAGGCTGCTCTGCAAGCCCCAGGACAAACCTCTGCTAGAACCCAGTGGAGACCCCACCTGCCCACCCAGGTTCTAGCTGCCAAGGACGCTGGCCCCGAGTGGGCACAGCAGACCAGGGCCTCCACCACCCTTGCAGCCCACAAGCAAGAGGATGCGGCTTCGAAAAGCCACACCCACCTGCCAGCCACTGCCCGGGCCTGCTTCATCGGAGAGCCCCAGGTGCCCCCATGAAGGCCCTGGCTTCCCTGCCCCTCCTCACTGACCCCAGGGTCTCTCCTCTCCCAAACAGGACAACCGAGTGCAGCAGGCCAGGCCTAGGAGGGCCTTCAAGCTGGCCAAGGGGCATGCAGCAGTCAGGCTACACACACCCACCCACAGCCTGGGTAGCAGGGCGCGCCCGTTTCCCTCCTCAGTGGAAAGGGACCAGACCCAAGGGCCAGCCTCAGCACAGTCAGCAGCCCCCTCGGAGGCAGGCATGCAGGCGGCCGCGGGGGTGGACGGCCGCCAGGGAGATTGGGGCGGTCTGCAGGCCTGGGCGCCCTCCACAAGCAGCGTGGGGAGGGCCGTTCACTCGCCGGGAAACCTGAGCCGAGGCCGCGCTGCCAGCAGCGACGCAAGCCCGAGTACGCGGGGCCAGAACGCGGGGGCGGGGGCGGCCCAGAGGAGCGGGAGGCCGCCAGCGCTGGAGGCAGCTGCCGGTTCAGTAGCTGGGAGAAGCCATTAACGGCGCTTGGCGCGAGAGCAGAGGGGACCACGGGCTCTGGACGCAGACAGGCCCGGCTGCATCCCTGCGGGAACCCGACTCACAGCCCAGGCAGGGTCGGGGGCACCGGGGAGCCGGCAAGGCTGCACCCCAGCCCCAGACTCCAGACCCCAGTGGAGGCCTTGCGGGGGATGGCCCCAGGCCAGCACCACAGGCACAGGAAAGGGACAGCAGAGGGCGGCTCCTCCGGCCAGAGTTGACGGCCACCCCGACCCCTCAGTCTGACACTTTCCTGACAAACATGGCCACAGGCAGGGGAAGGGTGGGTGGCTGCATCCTCTGCCTGAGCAGCTGCCTGGCCTCAGTTTCTCCCAACGGCTCAAAGTGGAGGGGTTGCTTCTGCAAAGGCCAAGCAACCCCCTCGCCCCGCCCCTCCACCCCGGCCCACCTCCCCGGGGGTCCCAGCGGCTGGATGAGATCACGTCTGTGAAGCTCCAGGCGCGGTGGGAGAGGGGTGAGGTGGCCATGCGGGGGCGGGGCAGCCGCGGCTCAGCCGGCTCCTGGGGGCCCCCCCACTGCCGGGCAGCAGGACCCCAGCCAAGCCCAGCGCCTCCTCCAGGGGTTCCGCCCACCTCCCTCTGCCTGCGCACCTGGGGGAGGGGAATAAGGAGACCGAGAGCTGGGGCACAGAGAGGCTGCTCTGGTCTTCAAAAGTCAGCGCCCAGCAGCGGGTCCCTGAAGCAGTGAGAGGCCCCGAAGACCCGGTGTCATCCAGACCCAGGAAGGGCAGGGAAGTGGCCTGAGGAGAAGGGGAGGCAGGTGGGTAGGGGTGGGGGGGAGGCACCTCCCGCCAGCAGGAGCTTGGCCCGACCTTCTCAGCATCACAGCCACTGCCACCCTCGCGCTCCAGCTGAGATCTCGGCTCACAGGAGGACACGCCCCGGCGGCACCCTCCCTGCCCTGCTGTCAGGGGCCCTCCCCAAAGTCCTGAAGGGCCCTGGCAGTGAGGTCGGCCTTCCCCCAGCCAGCTCTGCCCAGTGCTGAGGAGGACCATGGTCCTGGTGCCACAGCCACCTCCAAGGACACGGGGCTGCCGGACGGGCCCTGCTCTCCTCACCCCACTGTCTCATCGCAGAGCTGCAGGCTGTCTCCCACCTCCCAGGCCTCTTTCCTGCCCACCTGTGGCCCCAAATCACTCCCCTAGGGCCACCCCACTTTGCTCCAAGGGAAGGAGGCCCAGGCAGATGCGGACTTCTCTGGACGGGAGGCATCTGTCCTGGCCTGGCCTGGCTCCTGAAAGCTGAGCTCTGCCGCCCCCTCGAGCCGCTGGCCGGCTGTGCTGGCAGGAGCACCGGGCGGCACCCCGGCTCCCTCGCCGTCACTCAGACCAACATGTGGGATAGTCATCACTGGAGGAAGCAGCCCCCACACCCCTGGCCGGCTTCCTCCCGGCACAGCAGGGGGGTGCCCACCCGGCAGGCGGCGGTGGCACGGGACAGGCCTGGCAGAGCACCCCCGGGGCAGCAGGGATCCCACAGGCCCTGCCGAGGCCCCTCCCCGGCCTCCGCACTCCGTTTACAATCATCATCGATTTCTCAAAATACCAAATATAAAAAAGTAGCCGACAGGATGTGGCTGCCGACAGCCAGAGCCCCTGGGAGGGGGAGGGGAGACAGGCAGGGAGCGCGCGGCGTGGCCCCCCCTCTCTGAGTGAGCCCGCCGCTCCGGCCAGGAAACCAATTTATTTTGTTTTGTCTCTGTTCTCTGAACGCGCAGCAGAGACCGGATCGGGCGGGCGGCCAAGGCTCCTGCAGCCACAGCCAAGAGAGCCAGAGGATGGAGGAGGAACCTTGGGGGAGGGGGGCGCGTGTCTCCCCCAGGCCCCGAGGGGACAGCCCCTGACAGGCAGGGAGGAAGAGCTCCATCGGGAAGGCCCTACACCAAAGCCTCCTCCCTCCCCCGCAGCCCCCAGGGCCCAAAGGGGCCTCCGCCTCACACCCAGGTGCTCCAAGGGGACCACAGTCCTACCCTGGGGCCAGGCCACACTGAGGAGGGCACAGGCAGGCACTGCCTCCGGCCTCAGAGCTTCTCAGAGCTTCCAGACCCTCCCAAATGAGGGCAGCCCCCCGCAGCCAAATCTGCTCCTGGACACAGCCCATCCCAGCCTCTCCACGCCGGCAGAGCCCAGCCCAGTGCCAGCCTCTCCATGCCAGCAGAGCCCAGCCCGGCAGCACGCGTCCCCCTTCGCCTGCAAGCTCCTTACGAGAAACAGCCGACCTCCAACCCCTCCTGAGATGTGCTCCTGGGACTCACTCAGAGGTCCAGAGGCAATGACCCCAGCCCACATCAGCCACCACCAGGGGCGGGGGAGACTCCAGGGGAAGGGAAGGGCCACCGCTGCCAGAACATCAGGACATGAGGAGGCAGCCGTGGCCCTGTCCTGCCCGCCTGGCCCACAGCCAACCTGTGGCTCCCCACACAGCACACATGACAGGCGCACCACCCGTGCCCATGACCCCCACCCAGACCATGTACACTGCCTCCAGGGAGCCCCCAGCCACCCTGCAAAAGACACAGGAGCCCCGGGGCCTGTCCACAGGCCAGGGCCGACAGAGGGGCACGGAGCCACACCCAGGTCCTTCCCCTTCACAGGCAATGATGACACACATACATTGCAGTCTTGTGTCCCCGACCCCGAAATCGCTCTTGCAGACGGGGAACAGGGACCCAAGCCAGGACGCCCACGCAGGCCTCAGGAGCCTTGCTGCGGCCCCAACAGTGTGGCCCACCTGCGGGCAGGTCCCAGCACCCCCCAGGGCAACCCCGGCCCCAACGCCCAGCACCTGCTAGGCTGCGATGGACGATGCCCCACCCTGCCCAGTGGGAAAGCAGCCCCAGCCCCACCTCTTCATCAGAGCTGTCCTCCGCGTACTCATCCCCAATCCGGGCGCTCGCCACCTCTGTCCTCGGGCCAGGGCTGCCGTCCTGCAGAGAGAAGGGAAACACTTACTTCAGGGGATACAGGGTGCCCTTTGACCTTGGGGGGATCCCAGACCCCGGAAGCCCACCCCCGCCCCAAATCTCCGAGCGGCTCCAGCCCGGCCCAGGCCTCAGCACAAGGCCAAAAACACCCAGCTCTAAGGGGGCCTCTGGGGCTGTGGCTGGCACCTGGTACCACGGCCCTGTCCTCTACAACGGCTGGACTGCAGCCTCCCCAGCCCTCTGTCCCTAGGCTGACCCGGGTCAGGCTAGACACGGAGGCCACTGGGGCAGCCAGCAGCAAAGCCTCCAGCTGAGGACTAAGACCCCCACCCACCACCAACCACCCCATACCCCCATTCATGTCAAAGCCGCAGGACTCCTCCCTGAGGCCCCACATGGGGCTCCTGCCCAGCCCCGCCTGGGACGGGGGCAACATGGTTGTGGGGAAGGAGCAGACACAGCCATCACAGCAGCGTCACTGGGGGCAATGCCCTTGAAGGGGCGGGGGACATACATTGTCCACCCATCTCGGGGGCCATGTCCAGCCCAGTCCAGCCAGCAGAGGGCCCAGACAGGGCCCCAAATGCTCAGAAGGCCTGCAGCCCCCACAGGCTCCCTGGCGCCCAGCATCCTCCCACCCACCACGTCCACAGCCTAGGCCGACCCCATCCCACCGGGTCACACAGTGGGCGCCACTGAGAATTCACGTCCCAAGCTGGAAAACAGATTCTGCCCTCAACTGTGGAGGTGAGGATGGCTCCAACCGGATCGGGTTTACTGGCGGAACCAAGGTTGATGGGGAAAACAGGCCACCTCTCACCCGTGGGGGCAGTAAAGTGCTCGGGCGCAGGAACCCCAGAGCGAGGGCGGGCACGCCCCCACCCCCGCCCCGAGCCCCTCTTCCCTCCGGCCCGGGCCCCTCCCCTGCCTGTTTTTTCCTTCAATATAGAGAGGTAGGAGACTAAGTTTTTTCCCAGGCCAGGAACAAGGAAGGATTCAGTTTCCACGTCTCCCCTGCCACTGACAGTGGCCTGGGGCACCCAGTGACACTGAGCTCTTGCCCCTGCCTGGAGCACACAAGCCCCCAGAGCCGCGGCAGACACGAGACCCCGGCCCCAAGCCCCAGACCTGCACGAGGGCAGTTCCACACCAGGCGGCAGTCAGCTGCCCCCACCTGGCCTCTGCTGCATGGGTATCGGGCTGGGCTTCCGACCGCTCGCCTTGGCCAGGGCTGAAGCACCACACCCCGGAGTCCCAGCCTCAGTGCTCATGGGCCACAGTCCCAGGGTCCTGGCAGGTGGACAGAAGACTTGTCACCCAGCACTCTGTGCCCCGTAGCCCCTGTGCTGGATGTAGACAGGCCATGGCACAGGCAGGCTCTGGGCAGGAGGCAGAGGCGCCCTTGGGAAGTGCTGGGTTCCCAGGGGCACGGCATCCCCGTGGGACAGCTGTGGGGCACACTGAGTCCACCAGGGGGCGACAGCGCTCAGCCAGGCCCAGCGCCCGAAGGGCAGGGGCGGTGCGGTGCGGGCAGGGGCGACGCGGGCAGGGGCGGCCTCTGCTGGGAACTGCCTGACCTAGAAGCCCCTTCAGATTTTGGAGGCAAATGCTGTGGGGCATTGAACATATTTTTTTAAACGTAAAAATTCGAGGAAAAGGCCACTAAAACTCTAACGACAGACAACGGAACACGAGCCCATGCCACGCTCTGGACTTCTGGGGACATGACCTCCTCCCGCCAGGCCCATGCTTGGAGTCAGCCCAGGTCCTCCAGGGCCTCCAGCACCACCCACAGTGGTGTGCCGCCTGACTGAGGACCTCCGCTGCTGGGGGACACAAGGGATGCGGGGTCCACGTGCAGAAGTTCCTGAGGAGGGGCTGGGCCTGATGGAGCCTGAGAGTCGTGTGAGGGTGAAACAAAGCTGAGAGAGAGGGCGGGCAAGCGCCACTGGGCAGAGGCAGGTGGGTCAGAAGGACTGACCGGTGGGCAGGGAGCTGCTGACAGGGAGCACAGGACGGTGCCAGGGCCGCTGGAGCCCAGGAAAGGTTGCTGCAGTCCCTGAACCCTGTATGGTCTCCGCCCAGCCCGAGGGCTAGAACGTCACCAAGAGGACCAAAGGGAGAAACCCACAGCGGGCTCAGCCAGCCAGAAACGGTGTCCAAGCGCAGGAGTCCCCTGCTGTGACTGCACCAGAGCCTCCCCTGCTCAGCATCAGGCCAGTCAGGCCATGCCCCACTGTCACTAACCAGGCACGTGACACGGGCTCTGCCTTCACTTCCTGGGAGAGGACGGCGACAGAGCTGCGGTGTCCTGGGTTGGTGGGAAGACAACTCTGCTCCCAGGGCCGCCCACAAGAGGGTTCTGCTGGGGACGTGGGCGGCAGGAGGGAAGCAGTCCCAATGTGCCCGGAGACCAGAGCCACAACATCGCTGTCGGGGTGCCAAGGAGACCAAGAGAACCCCATGCTGCACCACAGACCCCACACCCGGCACCTCAGCACTGCCAAGGATCTCCAGGGCCCTGCCCACGCTAGCCACAGGGTGCCCAGCACAGAGACGGCTGGTATCCAAGAGCTCTGTGCTGATGGCTCATCTGACAGCAACGATTCATCAACAGGTACCTAGGAAACCCACATTTTGTTTTAAAGAAAGTACATCACCCGGAACTGAAAAGCCCAGAGAAAATACACGCCGAAAAACATCCCTTTTTATCTCAGAGAAAAGGTAGGTAACTAAAGGGAAGAGCCCAAGAGTGGCAGGGTCGTTCCCAGGCATGGAGACCAACCCTGCATGAGGCACTGGCCATGTGTGCTGCCACCAGCGGCCCCAAGACCACCATGGGCCACAACCACCACGGGCCACAACCACCATGGGCCCCAAGACCACCACGGGCCCCAAGACCACCATGGGCCATGACCACCACGGGCCACAACCACCACGGGCCCCAAGACCACCACAGGCCACGAGCACCATGGGCCTCAAGACCACCACGGGCCCCAAGACCACCACGGGTCTCAAGACCACCACAGGCCCCAAGACCACCATGGGCCTCAAGACCACCACAGGCCACGACCACCACAGGCCCCAAGACCACCACGGGCCTCAAGACCACCACGGGCCCCAAGACCACTGGGGGCCAAGACCACCACAGGCCACAACTGCCACAGGCCCCATAGACCACCATGGGCCCTGACCATCACAGGCCACGACCACCATGAGCCAAGACCACCACAGGCCCCAAGACCACCATGTGCCATGACCGCCACAGGCCCCACAAGACCACCATGGGCCAAGACCACCAAGGCCAAGGCCACCACAGCCAAGACCACCAGCCATGTGCCCAGCCACCTTAGGACCACCACAGACCAGAGACCACTCCACTGTGACTTGGTGCCCCACTGCAGACAGCTGTGCAGAGGAGGGCCCAAGGACCCCCATCTGCCAGGCCTGGTTTAGATGGGACCCTGGCTGTGGAATGAGGTTCTGAGGAGCCTTGGGGGAAGAGTATTTGGCAAGCATAAGGGTGACTGTGACCATTTTGAAACATAGCCACAAACCTTTGATTTTCATCACATCAAGAGACAGAGTCTATGTCCCCTCCCCACAAATCTGGGTGGGCTTGTGGCTGCTTTACCCACCCAAGGGAAGCAGCCCACACTGACGCCGCAGGATTCTGGGCTGAGGTCGTGAGGGCCGTGCTGCTCTGCCCATCACAGGAGACAGTGTCCTTGCAGCCCAGAGCCCTGGGAGGGGGGATGGCTGGACATGGGTACCCTTCGTGAACACGGCTGTCAGGGTGGTCTGGATGCACAAGAGGCCTGGCTGTGCTCACCTGAGATCCTCACCCAAGGCCCGGAGCACAGGATGTGAGCTGAGTGTCAATCTTCCTCAGGTGGGATGTACCAGAACCCTCTGGGGCTCCCTGGCCCCTCGGCATGACACTGTACTAGGGGTGTACTGACCCTACTGCTTTCGGCCTGAACTCTGACCCCTCGAATCTGGAATGCTACAAAGTATCTGATGCTGCAAAGTGCCAGGACAGGTAGCAGAACAGCTGCCTGACTCCCCCATGGGGGCCAAGAAGCTTGGAGCCAGCAGTCTTCAAAAGAACCCAAAGCAAGGCCACGGGCAGAGTTCACCACCAGCCCTGGGCCCTGGTCCCATCGCCAGCTCTGGGGTCCACACCCAGGCAACTTCGCCCAAGGTGGGCTCCACGAACCAGCTGGTGAGAGTCACTGGGCAGCCCTTTCCCAGACTCCACAGAGCTGCAGCTCCAGACCACTCTCCAGCAGACAGCACCAGCGCCCAGACACCAGAACCCCAGCAACAGGGGGCCCGAGTCCAGGGTTCCCACACTGCGGCAACACGCCCTGCAGGGTGCCGTTCCCAGAGCCTGCCTTCGCCAAGACGCTGGCGGGACCCCTCGCCGAGACGCTGGCGGGACCCCTCGCCGAGACGCTGGCGGGATCCGCCAACCAAGAGTCTGCATTACGCCCCGGCACAGGCCGAACAATCCTTAAATTATCTGGGAAGGCCGGGCCTGGTGGCTCACGCCTGTCACCCCAGCACTTTGGGAGACCTAGGCAGGCGGATCAGTTGAGATTAAGGAGACCAGACTGGCCAACATGGAAAACCCCGTCTCTACTAAAAATACAACAAATTAGCTGGGCATGGTGGCACTCACCTGTAATCCCAGTGGGAGGTTGAGGCAGGAGAACTGCTTGAATTCGGGAGGTGGAGACTGCAGTGAGCCAAGATCAGGCTACTGCACTCCAGCCTGGGCAACAGACAGACCCATCGCAAAAAAAAAAAACAAAAAAAAAACACAAATCTGGAATTGTCACTTTTATACTAGGTCTTAGACTTTCTCTTATGTTTTTTTCTTTCAAGACACTCTCACTCACTGTCACCCCGGATGGAGTGCAGTGGCATGATCTCAGCTTTCTCCAGCTTCCGCCTCCCAGGCTCAAGCGATTCACACAAGGTTTCACCACGTCGGCCAG